TCTAGTTTGTTTGTGATGCTTTCATTCTTTGAATTGCTGAACCTGGTTATTTGTGTTCAGTTGTTGGTCACTGAAGTAATGAAATATTTTTTTCAGCTTGAAACTTGTAAAAATAAAAATGTAGAAAACTTGTAGAAATAAAATAAATGCCAAATAATAAATTATTCTGCCCAATTGATAATAAGTTTTTGTCATAGTATTGTTCATAATTTCACACTACCAAGATTTTGATGATGTTCATTCTAGATAGGCACTCAGACATATGAATATAGATATATAAAGCCAGCATCGATTCATGCACTTTTTCAAAAGTGTAATCTTATTTTTTTTCCTATGGGTACAAAGTAAGGTAAATTTAATTTATTGAGGTGAGCCAAATTACCACTAAATCCTTCTGAGATTTTATATGTGTACTTCTGTACATGAGAAATTATTTTATTCTTACGTGATACTACTATCTTGCCATCGCAGTGTCTCATCTAATAGCCAGGACCGTATCTTTTTCAAATGCAGAATGTTTAAAGTTATGTTGATGGTAAAGAGAATAGATATTTAGATACATTCAAGTATTTAGTCTATGCATGTGGTTGCCATGATGCATCAATAATCCAGTTTATTTTAGTTCTTTCCCTTGTTAAAAGAAAAAAAAAGTAAAAACAAAACCAACAGAAAATCATGGAAGTTTTTTCTGTTGAGTTCAGTTTGCCAGATTTTTTGTTAGGAACTATGATATTTCAAAGGTTTCTGTCATCTCCCAATCCAGCTCAAAATATAAGACCATTCAATTTTTTTTCTACATTATATATATGCAACATGCATGAAAGATCATAACACGCAGAAACATTTATAATTCTGAAAAATTACAAATCTTCATCTGTTTGTTTAGTTTGGTTTTGGTAACTTGACTTCAGTGAATACAGTATCTGTTAATAAATTATTATTTTGTCTTCTAAAAATTTTGAATTATTTTTTAAATCACTAGATTTCCTCTTTTATCTTTAAAGACTATTGACAATTGTTTATTCTTACATTTTCTCTATAATGTATGTATCTTTTCCACCTTGTAACTCAGCTTAGTTCAGTTTTTGTTAGGTGTTATTTTTAACTTTGTTTCATTCAAATGAGGATATAATACAGTGAGAGCTTCATCCACTGCTGCCACAGCCCCTCTTTCCTTTCCTTGAAATGTAATCCCAGGCATTTGTTTTATTGACTTGAATCCTGAGAAAGTGCATGTTTTGAAAGAACAAAGATTCTGCTCTAGAAGACTTTACTTAATGAAAAATCTAGAGGATTTTCCCCCCCTCTGGCCATTTAACACATGGTTTCCTCACATACACCTTCCATCTTTTCCACTGACACATTGAAAATTACATAGGAAAATACTAATAGAATTTAACTAATGTTTAAATGTTTTTTATATAAAATATTATATAAGAGAAACATTTATTGTGTTTAAAAATCTTTTGAGTTTAGCTATTGATGCTCTTTAAAAAGGAAAAACTCTCATATTGAAGCATAGTTTGAACACCACACTCAGTATAGGGGCCAATGTGAATTTCACTGATAGTTTCAGGCCTTGTTACATAATGTATGTCTTAAGACTCTGAAAATCAATATTTTGGACTTGCTAGGAGGTAGAGAGAAATTCTCAACCAAAAGAATCAGTATTGGTAAAAGAAGGAATACTGGCCAATTGATGGCCATATTATCTTCTTTATCATTAGGAAAATTTCAAGAAATTTCAAGAAATTTCAGTTCTAGATTATGTACTTCTACTAAAGATAAAAAGCCACCTCTCATTGTTCCTGAAACAGAGAAAAGATTTTGGGCTGCTCTGCATCTTCTTACTCATCTGGGTCAGCCATGGGACTCATGTAAATGCTGTTGGGAAGAGTTATTTGAAAGAAATATGAGATCAAAACTCCCACTTCCTTACTCCCTCCCGGGTCACACATATTTAAGCATGAAAGTAAAGCGTCAGTGCAAAACCTCTGGTGCCTAGAAAGTCCAGGAAGGGTAGGAGAGATTATTTGGTATGTTTGTTAGGAAAGAAAGCGTTTAAATTATGTCTGTAGTGGTAAGAGCAGAGAGGGACCATTCTGGTCTACCAGCTAACCCAGCACAGCTCAGCTGTAAACACCTACATCATTTTCCTTTTTCTGCAGAAAAAGACAAAACTGCTTACTGAGTGCAGTTCTTGGCATACACCTTTTTTAAGACAGTGGCTGAGCACTCTCTGGAAGTGTAGGAATTAGCATAGGCCAAAGCTGTGAAGGCAGTGAACTGACTGACAGAAACCATGAATGAACCTTGTCTAGGAGCCTGTGCAGCCTTACTGGGAAAACAGAGCAAAAGGGAGACAGAATATTAAAAATATCAATATAGACTATAGGCAAGTTTGAAATCGGCTGCGGGGTAAAGAAAATAAGGAAGGATACAGAGTGGGAGGCATTCATCTGAGAAACAGATCTCAGGAACAGGTATTGCTCAGTCATGCATTGTTTAGAAATATGGACAAGAATTCAAAAGTAGTTTTGAGGACTTGTGAATCAGAGCAGGAAGATGATGTGTATGAATGGAGATTGGATACACAAAAATCTTCATAGAAGCCCATGACTGCATTATTTACTTCTGCTCCTGAATAAACATTTTCTGTCTTGCTTCAGTAGACACATGGTTTTACTCATTTTCTTGTTACCATGTATGGTGGACTGTTCAATATACTTCCTAAAAACTGATTTACACTTTCAGATATGAGTCATAAACCAACTTACTTCTATTAGATCTATTTTATGAAGAGAACATGTAGGTTCAAACTAAACACATTTAAGATCAGGAAATAACTTCTGTGAATGCATAACTGTTATCAGACCCAGCATTCCTGTTTCAAACTTATTGACTATGATTACTAATTACAAATAGAAAAACTACTGCTTGATTTCACCTAACCTTGAATCCTGTGTGCTGTTTTGGATACCACAATATAAGAAAGATAAAACTATTAGACAGCATCCAGAGGAGGGCAACAAAGGTGGTGAAGGGCCTTGAGGAGAAGCCATGTGAGGAGTGGTTGAGGTCACTTGGTCTGTTCAGCCTGGAGGGGAGCCCTCATTGCAGGCTACAGCTTTCTTGTGAGGGGAAGGGGAGGGCAGGCACTGATCTCTGCTCTGTGGTGACCAGTGGCAGGAGCCATGGGAATGGCCTGAAGCCAGAGAAGGTTTAGGTAGGGAAATATTCCTCACCCAGAGGGTGTTTGGGCACTGGAACAGGCTCCCCAGGGAAGTGGTCACAGCACCAGCCTGACAGGGTTCAGGAAGTGTGTGGACAATGCACATGGTGTGACTTTTGGGATGGTCCTGAGCCAGGCCAAGAGTTGAACTTAGTGATCCTTGTGGGTCTTTTCCAACTCAGTATATTCTGTGATTTTGGGATTTATTGTTGCAAATGTTAGTAAAGCAACTGAAGCATCAGAAATGTGATGGGTGATGTAATCAACAGTGGGAAAATCACTTTCTGTTTGAAAGTTTATTTAAGAACAAAAAGTACACACATTTCCTTGCCTACCTTCTCATTAATCATTTACTGTGGGTAAGAAACCTTAGTAAGCAATTAAAATGGAATTTGTAATAAAAAAATATGTTGTACAGAATGCAGTAGGCAAAAACTACTATAAAGAGATGATCACAAACCATAGATTAGTGATAAAGGCTTCATTTTTTCACCTAGCAACCTTACTCATACCTGCCACTTTTGCAAGCAATCTAAAATAAAAGTTTGTTGATTCTGGGGCTGCTATATTGAAATTAATTATACAATTTAGGCTGTTATTGACATTCATAAAATTATAACCAATGACATGAAACATACTGAAACCAAACCAAACTCTCATCTAGATTGGTCATTTCAGTTGTCAGTTTTTTAACTTTCTCCACTTAAAAATTTAATCTATAGGGGTTTTTTTTATTGCATCATTCCTAGAAAGAATGGAAATGATCAGCTGACTATATTTGTTTTCAGTCAATGTTTAATGAAAGGTAGTTACTAGGATTTTCAGATAATTTAAAAATACAAAAAAGGAAATTTTTTTTTGTTATGTAACAACCTAGATAGCAAGTATATAGACAGCAAATAATGTACTCCAAAACTGGTAAGTGTAAAATAAAATAGAGAACAAGGAAATCTCTTTGTTCTCAGTCACACAGGTTTTTCATCACCTCTGTAGCTTAGTGTCCAACCTAATTTTGCTTTGAACTCTTCCTTGCCCAAAAGAGTTTAATATTAGTGGCAGACATCATAGTTTGGAAAACAGAAGGTAGAAGAAATTAAAATCAGCATGTGTATTTTACTTTTCTGTTTAAATGACAATAATTGCAAAATCCCACGTCCTGCAGCCAAGGCTATGGAGCATCAGATGAGAGCATCTTTAGTGTTCCTCTTAGCACCCAAACGTAGACATTGGTTTTCACTGCAGCAGATTTATCCCCTGGTCTACAGCTGTTGGTGTTCAGGTACCCTAATGCGTGTTTTAATGCTGTGGGCTGGATAAGGTTTTATTTGAAGGGAAGCAGCACCATCTATTGCAACCTGATAGCTTAGCTCTAGACCATATAAAGACAGACTTGGCCTGAATTCAGTTTTCAACTATTTCTTGCATGCACTTTCATAAATTTGTCCTTGTCCAGCTTCAAATGAGATTAGGATCTCACTTAGTGTATGGTGGTGCAGGGACAGGGCTGTGTTCCATGCATGCACATGTCTAATAAAAAGTCAGCTCTAAGAGACAAAACTGTTTGCAAACTAAGATAATACAATAGCATAAGCCTAGTCCTGAATAACTGTTGCTTTTAAATGACTTGGCTGGAATTTTCATTTCTGAAGTGGGAGGACAGTCAAAAGTTAAGAGCATATTTTACCCAGGTGATACTCTCTCAAAATTTTCTTCCAAAAGCAGCATTAATGTAGGTGTGCAGTACAGTATGTTCTTCTAATAATGACAGTGCTATTGTCATCCATCTATATTTCTGGTTCTTCTCTTTTTTTCAGACTGTCTACAAAGCCTGGCTCTGTTCCCAGTATTTTGAAGTCACACAGTTTCACTGCAGCAACAGAATTCCTTGCAAGCAATACTGTTTGGAGGTTCAAACGAGGTGTCCCTTTATATTACCAGACAATGATGATGTCATCTATGGAGGACTATCAAGTTTCATCTGTACAGGTATAGTATAGAAAAACTAATTTCACCTGTTTTCATAAGTTTAAATGTCATGGATTTGGCTCTAACTCTGCGAGCCTGAAGGTATTCCACATCACAAGGATTTGTTGGAGGTGCTGGAATTTGAGCTCAGCTCTAGTAATGCACAGTTATGATACAGAATGCCAGTCATCTGCTTTACAAAACAAAATTTCTAGAAAATTACTTTTTACACTTAATAATTTGGTGGAGGATTTATTTTACTTCATGTCATGCAATACACAGAGTAAAGAGTTGCATGTCATGCAATATTCAGAAAAAAAAGAGAAAGGTGGATCCCAATTTAAGCATATTCACCTTTGTTTGCCTGCATTCTTATGCCAGATAAATCAAGAATCTGAAGCACAGCATTTAAAGTTGTGCAGCAGCTCTCAGAAAGTGTTTAAGAAAAGATCATTCACTAGTGAAGAAATTTAAGAATCAGTTGTTCACCTGTGAAGAACTGATTTTGTTTGTTTCCTACTGAGTCTGGTTACATTCTATGAATATTTTTTTTTCATTTTAAAAGGCATTGCTATTGTATATCTCAGGTACCCAACACTTAGATCATTTGACACCCTTGTCGAAATACCAGAAATTAAACTGTCTTCACCTCTGAATTAGGGCTCCACTGGAAATCTTGATACTAAATAAGTTGTCTAAGGTAAGCTACTTAAAGCCAGAGTCAATTATAAAAATCCATAAATGTTACACACCACCTCAGATGCAGGCATAAGGATCATGGCAACTCCACCATACACCCTGTGTTTAGATTCAGAGTGATTCTGGTAGCAAGGCATTTACTGGATTATTGTCTTGGATATTAAACATGTTGCACACAATCAAGCAATATCCATCTATATCCAAAAGAAAATATAATGTAAAGTGAGCTTAGTTACAATTTTGAATTTGAATCAATAAGGTGCTTAACACTTCAATGTATTTTTTTTAATTAATAGCCTTCCAATATGTATATGCAGTAAGCAAACAAGTATTATAAATGAGTGTAGAAGTGAGAAACTTAGGAAAATTTTATTTGCCATAGGTACACAATCTATACGTATGTGTGTGCATTCATGTATATGTACATGTACACACACGCATAAACAATGTCAAGAAACCAAACCAATAACAAAAAAAAATCATCTTGGCATGTATTTCACAAAATCTGTTAGGAAATATGTATCTATCTCTTCATTTTCCTAGTATAACTCATAATCCAAATTCCTTCCTAAAGCACAAAAAATAGATGATTTTGAAAAGATTACTGACATAGAAGCTTTAGGGAAGGATTAAACTCATTTTATTGCAGGTATTAATAATGTGGGTATCTGCACATAAACTCTGTGACTAAGCTCTCACTAGAGTCATTGGTGTAGTCAGTAGAGCTGAGAGCCATTTAATTCATCCCAAGCAGGGACCTGCACCTGATGAGAGGACTTGCTCACATTGCTGGCTGTACTCTATTTGCTGTAGCTGATGTTAGTCACCAGGGTCTTACTGCAGACACGTAAAATGAGGGTGACCTAAATCTCATGTCCACTAACAAATATTTGGTTGAACTTTTTGTCCTCTCAAGTCCAAACTCAGCAGCAGCAGAGCAGAGCTTGTATTCACAGACCCAGAGGAGTCAGTATGTTGACCCTAGGGAGTTGTGTGCAAGGGAAGATGTTGAGGACAGGTATGAGGCAGCAATTCGAACTCTGTCTGGAATACCGGCCCATTGTCACCTTTATTAAGCAGCAGCTCACTTTAAGAATGCTTCCTGCCACCAAACAATGAGAAATTAGACTTTAGTCTGCTGTGGGAATAAAGATTTATACCTCTTTGCAGCTTAATGAAAACAAATTTATTTCATGTGAAGTACAGTGAGCTCAACAGCAGACAAAACACTACACCTCACCATAGCTTGTGATAGATAACTTGAAATCCTTTCAAAGAAAAAGAGCTGAAAGAAGGTCACCCATATCTTGAGGGACATCTCCTACTGCACTTTTTGTGAGTTTCTGCCTGGTATACACCTTCTGAGATTTCTAGTTATTGATCTGTCTCTTCATTAGAAAAACACAAAAGAGTTAGGTCAAAAGGTATTTTTATTTAATATTTAGGTGTCAAATAACAAGAACAGATATACAAGGGATAGCTGATTTTGTTTGGTATCGATTACAGCCCAGAGCTCAGGATGAAGACTAAAACATTACCTGTAATTTTCCAATTGCAGCCAGGTAGAGGTTGGTGTGGCTCCTTGCCCCATGCTGGGGTGTGCTCTGGCAGTAGGAGCTGCCACCTCCCCTTTACTGTCCTACCGCAGCAGTAAGTCGGAGCACAGAGATCTGCTGGAGATGAGGGCATGGCAGCACTGGTGGATAACAGGGAACCCACACATTTTTAATTTTGTTTTCTTTCAGGCCAGGATTTTTCTGGTGGTCAGGTCTGAAAAAAAAAACCTGAAGGTTGTAAAATGAAATAATAACAAGGGTTTTACCCTTTCTTGGAAGGTCCACATGATGAGAAAAGAGCATAGAACTGGCTATTTTTCCCCAAGAAATACAGCAGTCATTGTTATATTTGTCATTAAGTTAAAAAGTAAAAAAATGTAGTTTATAATATGGATTCATGCAACCTTTTTGGATATTCCTGAGGACCTCATATAGCATGTTACAAATATTCTAGCCTGAGAATGTCTAGCTTGATCACCTCCAAAGAAGCCATATAATAGGAAAGGGAGAAGGCATGCTGCTCTCATTTTGTATCACCAGAATTTGTCTTTTGTAGAACTGCATATGAGGATGAGGAACAACTGTACTGCAAAATTACTTGAGAAATTAATCAAAACAATCAGAATCACAGTGTAGTTCTGATTATGGAAATACACTATTAGATATAAAGAATTTAGTGTTCTCTTCCTGCCCACTTTCTTCCAGGACATAAAAGGAAAAAAAATTATCCTTCCTTCAAGTGCTGTGCTATAACATGCTGATTTTCAAATTCATTAATACTGAGTGATTTAGTTTAGACCTTTGGACTTCATATCCATATGACTAAGTTTACAGTGGCTTCATCCAGTGTTTCTTTTTACAGCTCAGCTGTCTAGAACTGACCATGCAAACCAGAATCTCATTTGAGGGAGACAACAATAGTTTTCAGGTGTACATACACACACAGAAAATTACAGTGAATTAGTCCTGTGCAAAGTTCCTGGTCAAGGTTTTTAACTGTAAATTCTAAGAAAGCAGTGTTCAAACCAGCAGGATTTTTTTTCTGTTGTAAATGTAGTCATCTCTTCCCTAACTAAATTACGAGATAGGCTACACACCATACTACCTACACTACTCCAACCATTTGGTCTATTAAATTAGATTAGAGACAGAGTGAGGAAAAATCCCTTCAGAGGCACTTAGGTTTAACATGGGATACTCAGCACCAACCTTCATTGTACAGATCTTCTCACATTCCCAAAATTATGTGTTAATACAGACATAGTCTTCTCTGACTGCTTGGAGAAACTGCTGTCCACATGTCAAGTCTGGACCAGTCTAGAGTGCAGGCATGGGGATAACTGTGTTCCTTTCTTTGTAGTGACCATGATTTATGGTCTCTTTGTGTCCTGGGGCATAACAGGGCCCTCACCCAGCATCAAGTCTCAGCTGGAAATCCCTGCCACATACCCGCACTCTTTATCTGTACAATAGATGTCATGACATTTAATGAAGAAGGAGAGATCCTGCTTGAAGGAAAGGAAGGGAATGTAGTGAGCAGCAACAAGGCATCTCTATGTGCTGCATTAACTTCTTACAAAAGTAGCATGACACCCTTTAGTACTTCCAAAGAGCAGTGTCATCAGAACGAGTCTTCTGCCACCAAGAGGAGAATCAAATTTGTCTGTTCTCCTGTGTTGAACAGACTTCTGATGCTTTTCAGTCAGAAGGAGAAAGTAAAGGCAGAGAAGAGGTAAGTAGATGTGTTTCAGGTGCTTTAAATCACTAATATCTTTCAGTTAATATTAATTTAGACTCCTAATTTTATGTGTTCTGATTAACATCTCAGTTGTTTGGAACACAGCGTGAATCAACTTTGGCAAATAACAGTAACATATGTTTATGAGATCCATGCAAAGTAACACTTCCATGGAAACTCTACCTCCTTTAGGGTAAAGAATTCACTGGAAATAAAACTGTCTGTCATGCTTCATAGCACACACTAATGGTTATAAAGACATAGTGAGGATTATAACAAAGAATTCTCATCAATCTATAGAAGGAGCTGGATGACTAACAAAGCTCAGCAAAAGTATTAGGAGAAATTCTGTAAACTGCAGTTTCCTCTCAAGGAGCAGATGTGTGACTGAGTTTCACCAACAGGTTTAGCTGTAGTGTGTCTCTTTCAAAACAGACATCCTGATTTCAGTGCAATTTGAAATGCAATTTTCTTGAGAAAATGTGATATATAGAAAGCAATACTATCTATCTCTTTTGTAGAACAATTCAAGAAGAGAAAATCATTCTGAATTCAATCTGCTCTGTGTAGTTCTTGGCAAATTCAAAAAACCCATATATCTGATCAAAATTCTTCCTCTAAAATGCCTCATAAGAATGTGTCATTTGCCTCCTGTCTGCGCCTCTTAATAGGTCGTAAAATATCAAAATATTAAGCTAACACAGACAGCAGGACAAATCCCTTTTATGTTTGACAGGCATGGTTTAAATCATTACTAGCAACGGATCTGCTTACAGGGAAAATTTGACATGGTTTCTGCAGCAAAATCTGTCAACTAAATAGCTCATCTTTTTGATTCTAGTGTTCTTCTAGTCTTGAATTTGGGGCTTTCCCATATCATAATAGCTTTATTAGCTGTAAATATTCTTATCTTATAATAATGACCCAGACAATTTACTTATTGATATCCCTAAACTTTCTGTGGTGACACAGTACTTAGATATGTATAATCCTTTCCTATCATATCACAATAGTTCATCCTTTTGATC